CCCCGTTACGTCTCTCCCTCGTAGTCTCGGCGAAGCCCTGCTGCTGTGACGCCCTGCATCCACCATCACGCCGTCGTGCTGCTGGATCTTCATCAACCTCTCCTCCCCCCTTGCTGGATCAAGAAGGAGGAGACGTCTCCCGTCCCGTACGTGTGTTGAACGCGGAGGTGCCGTCCGTTCGGCGCTGTTCATCGGTGATTTGGATCACGTCGAGTACGACTACATCATCACCGTTCTTTTGAACGCTTCCGCTCGCGATCTACAAAGGTATGTAGATGCATCTAATCACTCGTTGCTAGATGAACTCCTAGATGATCTTGGTGAAACGAGTAGGAAAATTTTTGTTTTCTGCAACGTTCCCCAACATCTACGTGTGAAGCGGAGTACATAGCTGCTTCGGAAATAGCAAATTAAGGAGTTTGGATGAAGGAGTTCATATCCGATCTAGGTGTAATACCTAGTGCATCGGGTCCAATAAAAATCTTTTGTGATAATACTGGAGCAATTGCCTTAGCGAAGGAATCCAGATTTCACAAAAGAAACAAACACATCAAGAGACGCTTCAACTCCATCAGTGATCAAGTCAAGGAGGGAGAAATATAGATTTGCAAAATACATACGGATCTGAATGTTGCAAACCCGTTGACTAAGCCTCTTCCACGAGCAAAACATGATCAGCACCAAGACTCCATGGGTGTTAGAATCATTACAATGTAATCTAGATTATTGACTCTAGTGCAAGCGGGAGACTGAAGGAAATATTCCCTAGAGGCAATTATAAAGTTGTTATTTATATTTCCTTATTCATGGTAAATGTTTATTATTCATGCTAGAATTGTATTGATCGGAAACCTTAATGCATGTGTGAATACATAGACAAACATTGTGTCCCTAGTGAGCCTCTACTTGACTAGCTCGTTGATCAAAGATGGTTAAGGTTTCCTAACCATGGACATGAGTTGTCATTTGATAATGGGGTCGCATCATTAGGAGAATGATGTGATGGACATGACCCATCCGTTAGCTTAGCATATTTATCATTCAGTTTTATTGCTATTGCTTTCTTCATGTCGAATACATATTCCTTTGACTATGAGATTATGCAGCTCCCGGATACCAGAGGAATGACTTGTGTGCTATCAATTGTCACAACGTAACTGGGTGATTATAAAGATGCTCTACAGGTATCTCCGAAGGTGTCTGTTGGGTTGGCATAGATCGAGACTAGGATTTGTCACTCTGAGTATCGGAGAGGTATTTCTGGGCCCTCTTGGTAATGCGCATCATAAGAAGCCTTGCAAGCAAAGTGACTAATGAGTTAGTTACAAGATGATGTATTACAGAACGAGTAAAGAGACATGCCGGTAATGAGATTAATCTAGGTATGTGGATACCGACGATAGAATCTCAGGCAAGTAACATACCGATGACAAAGGGAATAATGTATGTTGTCAGAACTGTTCGACCGATAAAGATCTTCATAGAATATGTAGGAGCCAATATGAGCATCCAGGTTCCGCTATTGGTTATTGACCAGAGAGATGTCTCGGTCATGTCTACATAGTTCTCAAACCCGTAGGGTCCGCACACTTAACGTTCGATGACGATTTAGTATTATATGAGTTATGTGATTTGGTGACCGAATGTTGTTCGGAGTCTCGGATGAGATCACGTACATGAGGAGGAGTCTCAAAATGGTCGATAGGTAAAGATTGATATATAGGATGATAGTATTCGGACACCGGAAGTGTTCTGATGGTATTGGGTATTTATCGGAGTACCGGGGGGTTACCGGAACCCCGGGGGAAAGATATGGGCCATAGGAGGGGAGCACACCAGCCCATAAGGGGTACCCCCCCCCCAAAGGAAGGAGGCCAAATTGGAGAAGGGAAAGAGGGGGTTCGCCCCCCCCCCCTTCCTTCTCTCCTTCCTCTTCCTTTTTTCCCCTCCGGAAATAAGGAAGGGGGCCGAATTGGGGGAGGACCCCAAGTAGGATTCCTCCTACTTGGGGCGCCCATAGGTGCTCCCCTCCCCCTCCCACCTATATATACATGGGGAGGGAGCGCCTAGAACATACAACAACAATCGTTAGCCGTGTGCGGCGCCCCCCTCCACAGTTTACACCCCCAGTCATAGTTTTGTCGTGCTTAGGCGAAGCCCTGCGAGAATCACTTCACCATCACCGTCACCACACCGTCGTGCTGACGGAACTCATCTACTTCCTCGACACCTTGCTAGATCAAGAAGGCGAGCGACGTCATCGCGCTGAACGTGTGCAGAACTCGGAGGTGACGTACGTTCGGTGCTTGATCGGTCGGAGTTAGAAGAAGTTCGATTATATCAACCGCGTTGTCTAAATGCTTCCGCTTTTGGTCTACGAGGGTACGTAGACACACTCTCCCCCTCTCATTGCTATGCATCTCCTAGATAGATCTTGCGTGAGTGTAGGAAATTTTTTGAAATTGCATGCTACGTTCCCCAACACATATCATGATTTATTTTTATTCAGCTCAATCTTTTTTAGAAAAAAAAAGTAATTCTTCCATCACATGAAGGGGAACCTTGTCGGGGGCATTTGTGGCCTCACACCCATGGATCGCCACATGTGAAAAGAGTTTCTTGCCCAACGATATGCACGCAAGGTGTCCAGTTTTTCTAACACTTTGCGGGTATCTTCTAATGCTGGCAAGCTCTTCTTATTTTCTGATGAGGACCCTTGCTTGGAAGAAGACTTGTGATGATATTTGCTGGAACTCGTGATCTTTTCATGCTCCAATTCCACTTTCTTCAACAAGGCCAAGCAACTAGCAGTATCCACGTCTTCCGGTTGGTGTAAAATGACAGAAGAACGAATTTCAGGATGCAAACCAGCAAGATAACGCTCAACAAAGAGAACTTCATTTGTATGTGGATAAGCGAGCAAAATTTGGTGTCTAAGTGTGTTAAATTTTAGAGTATAGTCACTTAACCGACTGGGTGAGCAACAATAACTGACGCATATGAAACTTGTGTCGATATCGGCCCCATTTTTCCTGGACGACAGTACGAAAATCCCTCCAATGGACAAAACTATGGCGCTTCTGAGCCATTTTCAGCCAGAGCGCTGGGTTACCCACGCAATTCAGTGAAGCAAACTTCACTTTCATGGCCTCGGGCACACTATAAATCTCAAAGTAAATCTCACAATTATCGAGCCAGCTTGGAAATCTTCTCCGTCAAACTTGGGAAAATCTATCTTGGAGGTACTACCAAAGGGAGGGCGGTGAGTGGTGTGGGATGTGCGTCTATCCTCTGACAGAGACCCGTGGTCAAACAGTTGAAGTGCAGAGTAAGGGCATGCCGTTGGCCGGTGGCAGATCTGAGGATCGATGATCCCCGAGAACTAGCCTCGGTTGTTGGTGATGCCCGTCGTGCCCGTTGGGCCGATCCACGCTGTAAGTGCGCACCTCCACGGTTGGGGTTGGCGCACTGGTGTTGGCTGGACCTGAGGAACGAGCCGGAGGCGATTCAAGCGCCTCCAGACGCGCCGTAGCATCATCCGCATGAAGCTGAAGGAGGAAGGCCGAGGCAGTGAGCAACTTCGCCGTGGAATCCATGGTCTGCATCCACGCGGTCATGCCCTTGAGTTGCTCGACGATGGAATCGAGCTTGGTGTTGATCGCCACCGCCTGCTGCTCCACTGTTTCCATCGCCACCGAGATCTGTTGCTCAACGGCAATAGGCCCCCGCTTCTTTGGCAGCAGTTCGACCAAATCGAGCGTCAGTTCCTGCCGAAGGATAGGATTTACAGCGGCAGATGATTCCACCGCTAACCATGATCGGACTAACGGATCATGCGCGACTCGAATCTGATCGAAGCTACTCCTGATACCAAGTGTTATGCTCTTGCTTACAATATCTCAAATCAGAGGAAGCAGATGGGGATACAAGGGGATTCAGATACAGGAGGAATTGAGGAAAAGCAAGGGAGATGAGTTCCGTTCTTCGCTGACGTGTCCAGCCGCACTTCTCCCTATTTATCCTGGACTCGGAACGCCCTGTCCAGTCTCCGCCTGGCGGCCTTGGGCCGTCGTCCTGGGCCGGGCCATGTCATGACATAACTGACATACCATATGCGATCCTTTTTTATTTTTTTCGAAACGGAGGCAAAAGAATTGCCTCATCGATTAATTAAGAAGAAGAGAATTGCCCAGTTAATTTACGAAAAACTGGGCGAAAACTGATACAAACAACCCAAAAGAGGGCTACTCACAGAGCACGAAGCACCACGAATACATACACTGCCCACCCGATGCTCCTAACACACAACACTCACAACCCTCAACACTTGGTGAGAACATCGATGCAACGACTCAGAAGATCAAAGCCACGACGAAGACACGAGAAAGTGAGTACTGCCCATCATGAAATCACGTATGCCTTCTCTTTGCCATCACACTTCTTGCGTTTGTTTCTCTTTGATTTCATCTTCACGAGGCAACCATCTGTCTTGCCGGATGTCGAGCGATCAGTCACCAAGCGGCTCTCAAAAGGTGGTGCCAACACACCACACGCATCCACATTCTTCAGATGCACACATGACAAAGAGGAGTCATGTTCCTCACATGAGGTCGCCGACGAGCCTATCTTCATATTCTCCACTGACAGACTCATACAAAGCTCCCTAAGCTCAGGCATGTTCTTCAACATCGGAGCCACGACAACGGCCATGGACTCGCCCTCAGTGGAAGACAATATAGGGGGCAAGGTAGGCATCGATGCTGAGTTGTCTCCACCACAAGGGGAGAAACATCCGAATAACTCCGCCCCCTTGTCCTTTCCAAAGCAAACACCGTTTGCACAAAGAGCATGCGACATCAGAGTAGTCTTCAACATAGTCGACACAGCGAAGAATCCACTCAGCAGCCTCCGCTCGCTCCAAAAAACTTTCAACCCAGCCCTGCAAGCCGCATGCCGCACGTACTGAGTCGTAATACATACAGGGACGACCCGGGCACACGCTACGCCTTGCACAGGCTCTCCATCTCCGCCGCGAACCGCTCCATGGCCGGCCGTGGCAACACGATCGGCACGGTAATCGCGTCCTCCCCGTCACGGTCCTTGACGGGGACGAGGAAGGTCACGCCGAAGACAGTGTCGGCCGGGCCGCCGTACACCGGCTCGCCCCACCCGAAGTCGACGCGGTGGAACCCGGCGTGCCGGTTGTCGGACACGACGAACAGGTTCTGCAGTGCCAAGAACGGCCGGCCGCGCAGAACCAGCACGTCGACCGTGGAACGCACGTACTCGGCGGTCACTGCAGCCTTGGCCCGCCGCACCAGCGCCACCGCGTCAGCCAGCGAGCCACCCCCGCGCAGTGCAGCGGCGTCGGCCAGCGCGGCCAGGGGCACGCACGCGTTTCCATAGTATCCGCCCGGCAGGCCCAGCTCGACGAAGGCCCGGAAGTTGGCGATGATGACCAGCCGCGCTTCCTCGCCCTGCGGGACCTCGAGCGCCGCCGTGCGGGCGCACCAGAGGTATGCCGCCAGCGCCTCGAAGGTGGTGGCCTTGTCGCGAACGAGAGGAGGGAGATGCTTCTTGATCGCTGCGAGGTCGGAGGGGCCGAAAATGAAGGACCGCATGACCATGTCGCCGGCCGGCGGCGCCGGCGGTGGAATAAGGTCGAACTCGCGGTGCGGGAACGACGCCATAGGCGGGTTGCGCGCCTCTAGGAGCTCACGGGACCACGGGGGAGCGACGGTCGGCGCCGGGAGGCCGCGGGCGAGCTCGGCGACGGCGTTCATGAACTGCACGATGCCGATGGCGTCGCACATGGTATGGTTGAGGCGGAGCGCGAAGATGAAGCCGCCCCAGAGCAGCCGAGTCACCTGGTGACCATGATAGGACAGTACATACGTTTAACTCATGCATTCAACAAATGCAAATTAACCACCATTACAGATACCTGGATGAGCAGCAACGGGCAGTTGAGCACGCCGCCGGAGCCCTCCACGTCGAAGAGCAGCTGGTCCATGCACGGGAACGGCGGCCTGAGCCCGGCCCCCTCGAGCTCCTCCAGCCGCACGTCGGCGTCGGCCTCCACGAACATCACCCCCTCACCGCTGCACTCGACCACTAGCTTCCGCCCCTCCGCCTCTCTGAGCCGTCCAGCCAGCGGGTAGTAGTGCACCAGTACTTCACCGAGCGCGCGCCGGATGACTCCGGCCGGGTGAACCGGTGCGACGTCGTCGTCATCCATCACGCGGGCGCGGTAGACGAGGGCGAAGGACACGTGCCCGCGCAGCGTGTCCTGGTCGTCGATCTCAGACAGGCGCTTGGTCTCACGAGGCGTCGGCGCGGCCGGGCCGACGAGCTCTGGATCGCGCCGGCGCACCGCGAACGCCAGCGTCGCCATGGCGGCGGTCGCGTGGGCGGGCTCCTTGGACTCCGGCGCAGGATGATCTTGGAACAAGCTGGAAACCATACGTCGAGAGTTACTCTCGGCAGTAGAACTTGTGCAGAGTGCGAATTGTTCGCAGCCGGAAAGTCCAGCGTCCGAAAAGTCCAACAATGCAATGCTTGACATTTTGGAGCAAAGCTGGAAAACGTCCTAGTGCTCGGTTAAAAGGGGAGAAACTAGATACCTGGCTGGGAGCTCTCGTCTTATAACATTGTGCCATGTTTGTCCGATTTACATGGACTTGATGGAGTAGTTTGGACCAAAACAAAGGAGCAAGTTAAACTGCTTCAAACATTGCAGCTGACCGCATCCGCATGCTCAACCTCCCAGGATCTGCAAATGCTCCGGATCCGCATGCTCAACCTCCCAGGATCTGCAAATGCTCCCAACTCGTGCTTTCACACCGTCAAAATATTCGATATCCACACAATTTCATCCTCGCAAAGTTTTGACCTTTAGCCGCGCTCAGAGGTCCGCAAAGGAAACTCGTAAAAGATGGATGAATATAACCCTTCGAAGTTTACATACAAAAAGGTAAAACAAATTTCCAACAGCACGCAACAATCTTGTACTGCATAACATAAATCGTATATCATGTCACAAAATTTCATAGCAAAAAGGAGCGGTAGTTTTTGGCCCAAGTTTGAAGGCACTCGTTTTTAATCCCGTCCCTGATATCACAAGTCATTTTTTAGGGGAGGCATATATTGCGCTTCTGCTCCTTCCCCCCTTTGTTGGAACAACAAAGATATTATAAAAAATTCTGCCCTCCCTTGGTGAAAATAGAACCAGTGCCACATCATGTCTTATGTATTACAAATTCACCATATCAAGCCCTTGTCATCCAGGGGCTTGTTTAGAAGCAGAGATAAGATTAGTCTGTAAACATCATTCCTAGACCATTTGATTCTTGCGGATGGCTACTTCCATTTTCCTCGAATATATCGCAGGCATTTTCTCTGCGTGCCTTTCGCTCTTCAATCACGTCTTCTATTGAATCTGAGCAGTAGAGCCCCCTCGACTGCCCCTTTGGTTTCTCAGCAACCACAAATTTACTGCCTTCTCGGCTTCTTTCAGGAAAGCCTGCCCAGACTGCAGAAAGGCAGGCAAAAATAGTAATCAGTCGACAATGACAGTGTGTAGAATGACTGGGCACAAGCACTCCAGCACAAGAAAGACTAGTGTTCAATAAAAGTGGATTGGTAAGATTCTCAATAGAAGTGGAGTGGTAAGATTCTCCAGTAAAATTCAGAGTCAACAATGGCAGCTGTTTGTGTCTTATCCCTGCCAATAGGTTTCAGCCTGTTCGACACCTTCAGGGTTTCGGCCACGAGTTGGCAAATATAACCAAATACTAGACAAGTGCAGAATAGGGTCTATTGTCTGCGGGGCCAGACTTAGATGCATCGTAGTCACGCTGCCAACAACCACATCCAAGTTCAGAAGCTGTGGTACATGAGCCAGTCTCAACTTTCTAAAAGAGTTCTCCAAATCAGGGAAGAGTCTTGGTTTGAATGGTCTTTCTATTAATGGGGGAATTACTACTATGGTACCTAGTTTGGTGTTCCTATTGATACGGGTGAACTACTACTTTCCACTTGTTCAGTTTGTGCTCCAACAAATTAAGATTCTGTGCAACCGCAAACCCTCTAAATAACGAGGCAGCAACATGATCCAGAAATCAATGCATAATCGCTCCCCTGAGTCAGGGCTTCCTGCCCTGGCCGCACCACCTCCCAGTGGTGCCCAAGCCCCAAATCGCCAATCCTGACCTAATTCTTCCCCATCACTTCCATCGCCAGAATTAAAGCTCTAACGCTCTGTTACTTCTCATCATACTTCCTGTCAATGCAAATTCCATGTTCAGAATGCAGTAAACACCTTTCCAAGATTAATTCCAAAACTTCCTTGGATTGTGAAAGGGTACTTGTGCTAAAAGCTTAGAATTATCTCTAACGACAATTATTGCTTCTATACAGTAGACAGAGCTAAAGCCAGTAAGGAAATGCTCCTGGGAAACTTAGGTGCATGTGAATTTCTGGTGAGGTCACTGATACAACTTATGAAAGTTGAGTTTCTGTTGATTAATACAAGTTGGATTGCATAACCAGGTTTTAAAGTTCATGAAACTTAAAAAAAAGTTTATCTCTCATCTTCCACATACGCAAATTGTATTTATGTGGTATTGTACATGTTGATATTTTTTTCTATGAACTTGGTCAAACTTTACAAAGTTTGACTTAGGGCCCAATCTACAGGCTTTCGCTTTAGAAATGGAAGGAGTACATAACTTGGTGGTATCCATTTTGTAACACTAACCACCTGTTTCATCCACAGTTTCTAACAAGCTTGGGGATTAGGACAAAAGCCTCAACTGCCAAGTAATTACATGAAACAGCTGAAAACCAAAAATAGTATCACCTGAAAAATGGCAACACGAATTCTGGAGGGAAGATCGCTATACAATATCTAAAAGGTATAAACTGAACAAGGTCTACAACTCTACATATACGCAAAGAAATTAACGCACTGCTGTTAAGTTAGCTGCCATAAAATCCCAGTAAACATAGTTTTCCTCTGTCTGTGCCTATCTGAATATGAAAATAAAAATAAAAATTCAGTGGTTCCTTGCCATTACCAGCTTTTTAGTAAAAAAAGTACAAGTAGGACAAGTATCATCGAAAACGCTAAACTTAAGGGAAATTAGCTTACGGGCTAGATTCATGGATTTACGTGTATTTATAAAATCAACTTACACATCAAGATTCACGAATGTTAAGACAAAACTAGGCATCTGATAATTTGTAGTAACACAATAGTCCAGATTATTGATGTACGAAACAAGTACTAGTTGAAGAATATTTTGGTCAAATGGAGTAACATACAAATAAAACAAACTAACAGTATGTAAGAGAAGTTCTGTGACTGTTCCTATGAACACATGATTGAAGTATTGATGGAGAGCTCATGTACATAAGGTAACAGAAGATACGAGACATGTGTTGCAATTTGCAACCGTGCAAATCACTTTGGTTTTAGCATTAAGTGAACATGAAAAACTCCAAAAAAGATTGAATCAAACATGTAAGTATGTAATATGTGACGTTTTTAGAGATTAACACCCTGTCTGTTCTATATGTCAACTTATCACCTAGAGTATCTAACTCAATAAGAATTGTACAAACATGGTTAGCATAGATAACACGATTACTTAGGCTCTGTTTGGTATTGTGATTCCTTTCAATCTCCTTCCTCCATGTATTTATTTTTTCCATGCAGCAATTATTTTGAATGTGTCTTTTTTAGATGTAACAACTCTGTACCCTTGATTCCACTATGATTACTGATCAATAGTACTCCATAGTTTAGATGGATAGTCTTACTGGAACTGACTAACAAGACTCCATAGCACAGCATAATAACTGCAAACTGGCCCTTAGAGTCAGAACATGGAAATTCCATACTCTGTTCTAGAACAGAGTGAAGTTAATACACAGGAAAGGCTTTAAAAATTCCTAAATCTTGTTCAAATAACTTGACCTGTGCTAAAAATTCATCGCGCATCAAGCAAAGGATAGGAACTTACCCCCGAAGTGGTGGAGAACAATCGATGCTGCAACGGTAACATTGAGTGATGCAGTTCCGCCACCATACTGAGGGATGTAGACGAAGAAGTCACAGACCTCACACTCCTTTTGTGAGAGTCCTGTACCCTACTGGACACAACAAACATTGGAAAGAATTAATTAGAATAGCGGGCACACAAGTTGCTACCAGTGTTTCTTAACAAAAATGAACAATGTCCACTTCAGCTTTTAAACTTGTCCAGCAAACTTCAGGAAAGATCTAACTCACAAGAAGTTTTCTAACATCTGGAAAAAATTGAATTGAACAGTAAATATGCTAATCCAGAAACATGGAGGATTGTGATACTAAGTATGTTTAACATGACATAAAGTCTTGAGATAACAATTTGTTTACAACAATGAATCAATTCAAATGATCTTAGACTCATGGGCGCAATTCCTTACTTTCATGACATAGGTGGCAACGCTGCTCCAGCAACAACTACAGATAGATTAACTAGGAAACATCGTGATTACATCATGGTTGATCTAATATCCATTCGGGTTCAAGTTGCACAGATATGAAGGTCCAATATTCAGAGAGGGGGAAACGAAAATAGCATTTACGCCACGTCTTGCATATGTGGTTAACGTCTTCATGTAGCCGAACAATTTTTTAAGCAAATACCCAATGAAGTTTTGTATCAGATATGAAAGCCTACTGCAAGGAAGGTATTTTCTCCTCTAACATTGCACTTGGGTTAAGCTAGTTCTTACAACAATGACACAATCAGCAGACACTGACATGGTACTTGCACAATATGGAAAGTACAAAATGATTGAATGCGCGGCGATGACACATTTGTGATTGCATATGTTGACTATTTGAAGTTGAGTAATCTCCATCCGGGCCCCCCTCTTAAAAATCGCATACCAGACTAGTTAATTTTACATCAGCACTCGTAACCAGTACTGACACAAGAGGATCCAACGAACCTCATTGCCGAAGAGGAACGCGGTGCTCCTGCGGAACGGGTGGGCCGTCACAGGCAGCGCGTCGTCGGTGATCTCCACGCCGCAAATGTCACACCCCCTCTTGTCCTGCAAGCAACAGCACACAGGAAGGTAAAAGAGGGGATACGGAAAAGGTGGCTAGGGTTTAGTGTTTAAGGTTTAGGGAGAGGGCGTGGAGGTTAGGGGGATTTGGTGTGTCGGAGGTGGAGAGAAAATTGCCTTGAGGTAGGCGCAGGCGGTGGCGAGGGAGGTGAAGTGCCGGAAGCGGAGGTGGGAGGTGGATCCGTGGCTGCCGAAGGCGCTGACGTCGCGGCGGCCGACCACCACCACCTCCGCCACGCCAAAGGCCGTCGCGCTCCGCGCCAGCGTCCCCACGTTGTGCCGTTTGGCCACGTTGTGCACCACCACCACGCTTTCCACCGCCGCCGTCGCCCCGCTCGCCGCCGCAGCTGCCGCCATGGCCGCCGTTTTCCTGGTGCTATTCTCCCTAGGAAAAAAAGTAAAGGACGGGAGGGAGGGGTGTCGCGAGCGATGCAAGGGGAAAGCTGCCCGTGTGGACAGTTCAGCCGACAAGCAGGGCCCACGAGTCAGCCCACCGCCTAGCTGTCATACTCTTTTGCTGGATTCGAGATCCATTTTGTAGCTATGGTTGTACTTAAATTAAATTTAGAGCACCTATCAGAAAAAAATAGAACATATAAAGTGGTTGATATATCAGTCGTATATTAAATCGTGTCTTACAACATCTGCAATTATAGTTTACAAATACGAATCCTTATATGTTTGCGGACCGTTGGACGCGTTTGCGGATAGCGTCCCACTCCTCATATTTTACCATTGTAATCATAGTCTCATTTTCAAATCCTCGTTTTCATACCTGGCATTTCATCTACGTGCATAGCTGAAAACTAACAAACTAGCTACTCATGTCAATGATCTCCTCGTTGAAGGTGTTGGCCTTGTGATCATTGGTGGCCGGACAAATCACCCATGCCTCCTCCTTTCCTTAGAAAAAACACCTCTTCCTCGACTTCCTCATCCGTGAAGGCCTGCTCACACCAGTGGCGGAGGCATGGGATTTTTTCAGGTGTGGCTGAGTTTATAAAGAAGAAAACCATGTATTATAAAATCACAAAATAAAACAAATTAATTAGAAGTTCATCAAACCTTGGGCGGCGGAGCTGCAAGGCCACTGTCGTGTTGGGATGGTACCACATGGCCAGTGTCGGTGTTGCGACAAGGGAAGAACGTGCGCTACGAGGCCGCACGATAACGCCATGACAACTTGCACTTGTTGCGGGTCTAGTTGTGGGGGCCTAATCTAGTGTTGGCATGGCGAGCTCGCCGATGTGAGGGTGATGGAAGATTGGAAGTACATTACCATGGTGTCGTGAACAACAACCCTAGGAGCGTCAAGCACAATAACAATGCGCACAACGTGGGGCAAGGAAGACATGTGGAGAAGAAAGGACTAGAACAAGATGGACATATGACCAAATGGTTTTGGGGAAGGCCATCTGACATTCCGAAGGGTACTAATCAGCCTATTAGATCGGTTGAGCGACGCAGAGCGGTCCTCATATATAAAGTGGAGTGAGCTCCTAGTTCAAAAGCTTTCTAGCTCTGCTCACTGGTTGTTGCCCTGGTCGTGCATTCGTCATTCATGCTCTACCGCCTCCACGCAAGATCACGCATGGACGAGCGGCCTCCTGATCGCTAGGGTTTGAGGCTCGGGTGCTGTAATCATTAACAGTTTTACTATGTTCACACATGTCCTCAAGCCATCGACAATCAGGCTTACGGCCCATTGGCCATGAACAATCAGCAATCAGTTGCAGTAGGTAGGCACGGGTGCACGCCTCAGCTCAAATCTTCAAACACGTGGTATATACTGATACGTCTCCATTGCTTCATGTTATTATATTATCTGTTTTGAATGTTTATGGGCTTTATTATGCACTTTTATATTATTTTTGGGACTAACCTATTAACCCAGAGCCCAGTGTCAGTTTCTTTTTTTCCCTTGTTTCAGTGTTTCGCAGAAAAGGAATATCAAACGGAATGAAACCTTCGGAAGCGTGATTTTTGGAACGAACGTGATCCAGGAGATTTGGAGTTGAAGTCAAGGAAGCTTCGAGGTGGCCACGAGGCAGGGAGGCACGCCTCCCACCCTCGTGGGCCCCTCGTGGCTCCCCTGACCGACTTCTTTCGCCTATATATGTCCATATACCCTAAAAACATCGAGGAGGAGAATAGATCGGGAGTTCCGCCGCTAGAAGCCTCCGTAGCCACCAAAACCAATCTAGACCCGTTCCGGCACCCTGCCGGAGGGGGGAATCCCTCTTCGGTGGCCATCTTCATCATCCCGGTGCTCTCCATGACGAGGAGGGAGTAGTTCTCCCTCGGGGCCGAGGGTATGTACCATTAGATATGTGTTTGATCTCTCTCTCTCTCGTGTTCTTGAGGTGGTACGATCTTGATGTATCGCGAGCTTTGCTATTATAGTTGGATGTTATGATGTTTCTCCCCCTCTACTCTCTTGTGATGAATTGAGTTTTCCCTTTGAAGTTGTCTTATCAGATTGAGTCTTTAAGGATTTGAGCACACTTGATGTATGTCTTGCACGTGCTTATCTGTGGTGACAATGGGATATCATGTGATCCACTTGATGTATGTTTTGGTGATCAACTTGCGAGTTCCGTGATCACGTTAACTTATGCATAGGGGTTGGCACACGTTTTCGTCTTGACTCTCCGGTAGAAACTTTGGGGCACTCTTTGAAGTTCTTTGTGTTGGTTGAATAGATGAATCTGAGATTGTGTGATGCATATCGTATAATCATACCCACGGATACTTGAGGTGACATTGGAGTATCTAGGTGACATTAGGGTTTTGGTTGATTTGTGTCTTAAGGTGTTATTCTAGTACGAACTCTATGATAGATTAAACGGAAAGAATAGCTTCATGTTATTTTACTACGGACTCTTGAATAGATCGATCAGAAAGGATAACTTTGAGGTGGTTTCATACCCTACATAATCTCTTCGTTTGTTCTCCGTTATTAGTGACTTTGGAGTGACTCTTTGTTGCATGTTGAGGGATAGTTACATGATCCAAATATGTTATTATTGTTGAGAGAACTTGCACTAGTGAAAGTATGAACCCTAGGCCTTGTTTCAACGCATTGCAATACCGTTTGTGCTCACTTTAATCATTAGTTACCTTGCTGTTTTTATATTTTCAGATTACAAAAACCTATATCTACTACCCATGTTGCACTTGTATCACCATCTCTTCGCCGAACTAGTGCACCTATACAATTTACCATTGTATTGGGTGTGTTGGGGACACAAGAGACTCTTGTTATTTGGTTGCAGGGTTGTTTGAGAGAGACCATCTTCATCCTACGCCTCCCACGGATTGATAAACCTTAGGTCATCCACTTGAGGGAAATTTGCTACTGTCCTACAAACCTCTGCACTTGGAGGCCCAACAACGTCTACAAGAAGAAGGTTGTGTAGTAGACATCAAGCTCTTTTCTGGCGCCGTTGCCGGGGAGGTTAGCGCTTGAAGGTATATATTTAGATCTTGCAATCGAATCTTTTTGTTTCTTGTTTTATCACTAGTTTAGTCTATAAAAAATGGAATTGAGTTTGCCTCATACGCTTCATCTTTTTAAGATCTTTCGTGAGTATGATGGAAAGGAAAATTGTGCCAAAGTGTTAGAAGAAGAATGCATTAAAATGTTTGGCACTAAATCTTTGAATGATGAGCATGATTGCAATGTTATTAGTATGAACTCTTTGAATATCCATAGTACTAATGATGCTTGCACTAGTCATGATGAAAAATCTCTTATAAGCATGTCGATTTTTGTGGAGTGCATAGAGTTTGCAAGTACGTACCAACACAGGGAAGATAGATTTTGCAAGAGGCATAAGTATTTGGAAACTAAATGGTTGCAAGAAAGGCTAGATGTTTGTGCCAAAAATTTAAACTTTCTTAGCCGTACTTGTGAACTTTGCAATGAACGTGATCATTTCAGTACCCAATGCAAATTGTTTCATGATCGTATCATGTCCAAAAATTGTGATGACTTGATTTCCCTTGCACATCATAATGAACTTAGTTTGCTCTTGGGTTATGAAGAAATGAAACGTATATCTAAGGTTATTCCAGAATTTGCCCTTGATAGAGTTCTTAATTTTGATCTAGAGGAAATTTATATGTATTGTGCGGTGAATTGCATTGAAAATCCTTATATTGCCAAGTATATAAAGAAAATAAAACAAATAGAGGGTGAAGAGAATACTAATGAAAGGGAAGAGGCTTCCCAATATCCTCCTATTATTTCTTATGATGAATCTGGTAACGAGGAGGAGCCTTCTATTCAACCAATCTCACTAATAAGGAGCTCCAAAAAGAGGATTGAACCCACACATGATGTGAAGAAGAAAAATAAAAGACGGAGAAGTAAAGGTAGAAAGGTATCTCTCCCAAATGATGTTGCTCTTATTTCTCATTGTGATGATGATAATTGCTATACTATTGGTGCTATCCATACTATTAATGATGAGAGTGATTATGCTTATGATATGAAAAGGCCCAAGCTTGGGGATGCTATGTTTGATGAAGATGATGTTTTTGAGAATATATTTACTGCAATTAATGTTTGTCCCAAGCTTGGGGATGCTACGTTTAATGAAGATGATATTTTTAGTCTCCCAAGTTTTGATATGAAAATTTATAATGATGATAGCATGCCTCCTACTTATGATGATTATATTGATGAAAGTAGGTTTGGAAGAGTGTCAACTTTAGGAAGTAATGGTCCCACTATTTTGGAGGATGTTGAATCTTATTGTGATAATTATGAAAGTGGATTTGGAGAGGTCATGACTTTATTTAGTAATGATTCCACTATCTTGGAAGAGGTTTCAATCGATTATGATGAGAACAAAGTTGCTACCTATGATGATTATTGTGATGATACTTTTGCTATAGAAAGTAGTGATGATTATGTTTATAAAACTTGTCATGATTATGATTACCCCTTTTCTGAACATTACTCTTTTAATATGGAAATAATTTATAGTATTCGAGTTTCTTATGATACTCCCACTATTCCGAATGAGAAGAATTTTGCTTATGTGGAGAGTAATAAAATTTCTATGCTTGTAGATCATGAAAAGAATGCTTTATGTGATGGTTATATTGTTGAATTCATTCATGATGCTACTGAAAATTATTATGAGGGAGGAATATATGCTCGTAGGAATTGCAATAATATCAAGTTTCCTCTCTATGTGCTTAAAATCTTGAAGTTATGCTTGTTTTGCTTTCCTGTGCAAGTTGATTCTTGTTCCCACAAGTTGTTTGCTTACAAAATCCCTATGCATAGGAAGTGGGTTAGGCTTAAATGTTCTAGTTATATTATTCATGATGCTCTCTTTATGTTT